GCATTGTTTTCTCATCTTTGACTTTCAGTCCATAAACTCTCTTTCAGGTTAAATATATTTCTTATATAAAGCATCTTGATGGACCCTACCTCCTGATCCACTCTGCCTGTGTTTCTTTTTATTGGTGTGTTGAGGCCATGCATGTTAGCGATTATGGTCAATCTTCTCTGCCTCATCGCTGCCATGCTATTTTTCTGTCATTTTTTGTCTACTTTTCCTCTTCATTCCATCATCAGCCCCATTCAGTGAACCCCCTGTGCCACTGTTCTTGAAGCCATGGTCTTTTTTCACTCTCTCTAGAATGTCCTTCAGTATTTTTTTAGGGTTGAATTGGTGGTCATGAACTCCCCCAGTTCCTCTTTGTCATGGAATCTCCCTGTTTCTCCATTAATTTTAAGAGATAATTTTTCAAGGTACATTAATCTGGGTTGGAGGTTATTTTCTTTCAGGGTTTGGAATACTTCACGCCAAGCTCTTCTTAATTTGATGGTTTGTATTGAGAAGTCTGTTGTGATTCTGATGAGTTTTCCTTTATAGGTGATCTGTTTCTTTTCTCTGCCAGCTTTTAATATTCTCTTATTGTCTTGAATTTCTGGGATCTTGATTATTATATATTTGGGTGTAAATCTATTTTGGTTATAGCTGGCTGGAGTTCTGTATACCTCATATCTGAATATTATCTCCTTTTCCTAAGCTTGGGAAGTTTTCTTTAATTAGTTTTGTAAATACCCTTTGTGTTTCATTTTTGTTTACCTCTGCTTCTTCACTCACATTTTTATTCTTAAGTTTTAGATCCTCTTGTTGTCTTCTAGCCTTTGGATTGATACTCCCTGGTTCCTTGTTATTTTTAAGAGATCTTTCCCTTCATGATCACCAGCTGAAAACCTACCTTCAAAGTTTGATAGTCTATTTCACTGTCTGTCAAGCAATTTTGCCAGCTTTCAATGGAGTTTTTAATTTCCTGGTAATCTCTTTGAATCTGTTTCATGTATTCTAGATTTTTTAAAAAATATTCTTCAACAAAGGTTTCCCTCCTTTATCTATGCTCCTCCATTCTTCCATTGTGTCTTCATGAGAGGTGCTTAGCATTTCTTTCATTATTTTCCTTATATCTTCCTTTACTTGTATTAGTATTTCTGTTTTAAGTTCTTTTATATTTTCACAAAGATATTCCTTTATGTCACATGTTTTTTCTTCAGGAACTGCAGGTGTGCAACCCCAGATCTCGTCTGTGTTTGCCTCTCCTGGGCCACTGCTATTTGGGTTGGAGGCTGGAGACTTCCTTTCATTTCTTCCTCTTGTCATGTTTCTTGTTTCTCCCAGATAAATGGATAGTGGGTGTTACCAGCCCTTCCTGTATTTGTTACGATTACTCTGAAGTGTGCTGGCTAGGGATAGCTGCCCTCGCCAGCCTCCTGGTGACCCCTGGGGTTCAAGCAGGGGCAGAGCAGGATGGCCCCTCCCTTTTGAGCTGGTCAACTACTGGGAGTCTTCACCACATTCAGGGGTGCCAGGCTGGTTAGGGGCCAGTTAGGGATAGCTTCAGGGAAACTTCAGTCTCAGCTTTTGGGTTGCATACAGGGGCGAGATTCAGTACAAGCAATTCTCACCAATCTGCTCTGCTCTAGGAGTAGCTGAATGAAGCTGGCTGCAGTTCTGGTTCAGGCTTATCCTGCCCAACTCCAAAATGGTGTCAGGTTAATCACCCACTCCTGCGGGAGGCCTGAGTTCCCCATACTCACTGTAAGCTGGTATGGTTCTCTGGTCCACCACTCCCCTCTGTGACCATGTCATCCTGTTGGGGTCCTTGGGCTTGCCAACCCCCAACTTCACCGTGGCTGCACATCTTTAGATTCCAGTGGTGTTTTGCACACAGTGGGACTGGCTCCAATGAGAGTGCATCTGCCTACAGCCTTCTGTCCACATCTTACTTTTCTTTCCGTTTTTTTTGTTTGTTTGTTTGTTTGGTTGGTTGGTTGTTTTTTTTTTTTTTTTTTTCACTTATTTTCTTCCTGGGTCAAGAGGATCCATCTCCTTCTGTCTGGTCTTCTCCAGGATGCCGTATCCAGCACCTGAGCTGTTTCTCTCAGAGAGGCTTCTTACTTTGCTGCCTATTGATCCGCCATCTTGGCAGCTTCCATCTGCTCAGGAGCTCTTATGTAAGCATAGTCACACAGTTCTTCCTCTCTCTCTCCCTATCTCATTATCTGGTCGGGGTCTCAGTAACCTGCCCCTCAGACTTTCTAACAGTTCTTGTAGATGTGACTGGTCTGTGATCACAGTAATTCTCCCCTTGTTTACCTATCATTGTTCCACTTTCCCATCTTTCCACCCAGCACACATGCACACACACACATACACGCACACACACTCACACACACGCACACGAACATGCACACACACACACACACACGCACACACACACAAACCCCTCTGAAATTAACATTCTTCAAGCTAAAGCTCTCACCTAGAAATTGGACATACATTCATTAAGAGCCACAGTGGGATTTCACCAGGAAAATAGATTCAAAACAAAGTGAGGGATCCCCTGACACTGTTAGGATGGCTACTATTTTAGAAAGGATTCAGTGTTGGCAAGAATGTAAAGAAATTATACACTTACACAATTCTGATATGAATCTAAACTGGTGCAGCTGCTATGAAAAACAGTAGAGGAGATTCTCTAAAAATTAAAAATAGGACCAGTCTATAATTCTGTAACTCCACTTCTGGAAATTTTTGCAAAATGTTTGAAATACATATCTTCAAAGGATATTACCAATCCTGAGTTCACTGTAACACTATTCCAAATTAGTGCTGTTTACAGAAGAGTGAAGAAGTAAAATGCTGTGTCTGTGTTATCATGGGATACCACACAGCTTTCCAAAGGGTGCATGATTGCATGGATGAATGGAGAATACCCTCTGCAAAGAGACAGCCACAGAAAGATAAGCATTGTATGATTATGCATACACGGTGTTGCTAAATCATCAAAGTTAGAAATTAAAGAGTGGGATGATGGCTGCCCACAGATATCAAGAAGTGGGTGACTGAGACTTAGAAGTAACAGGTGTAAAGTTCCAGTCAAGCAACAAGAATAGGCTCTAGGGATCTGGTTAACTTTGTCCTCAGAGTACGCAGTGATACATTGTACACTGAAATGTAAAGGCAATGATATGTTATATCTCCAAGGCAGATAGGTCCAGGTTAAGTGTTCTGTCCATAATAAAATCAAATACATAATAATAATTAAAGGAATGTTGTAAACAATATTCTAGAGAGAAAGTCAGTAAATGTGGAATCAGGTTTCTCTAACATCATCATGAAAAAATCATCCCTGTTTTGCATGGCTTCTTCTGAATTTGTTTTATATGACAAATATTTAATATTTAGCTTCTTCAGGATGAAAATTTTATTTTTTGTAACTATTAGTGTCTACAGTTATGCTGTACTGAATTTGAAGGATGAGGTTGGGGTTATCAACACTTATTTCATGCAGGAAATATTGCATAATGCAAGATACTCTTTGGATAAATTTAGCATTACGATTGTGCATGTGGTTGCTGGTGTGATATTCTCACCTTTACACAGAAAATAGGAAACTGAAAAAAATGTGGCTTTACTCAGAATGATTTGAAATATTTGCAAATTAAACTTATTTTGAATATAATGCATAATGAAACTATGCTTTGATAGCTGTGGTTTCTACCTTATTTTATTTTTTTTAAATGCTCACATCTGTTAATGGTTTATTACCACTGGATTTTACTCTTTGATTTCCACAGCAATTTTACCAATGCTTTCCTGAAATATTTTACATTTGAAATTATTTCCATTACAGCCTTCTTTATCGACACCTGCAGCATTTGAGTTTTTTTCTAAAGCTCAGACTCTGAATTAAGTAGAATTCACTTCATGGTTTGCAGGCAAACATCAGCTCTCTGTGAATCCAGAATGAAAATGACCAGGCTTTCCTGGGAATACAGCATAAATCCACTGAAATCCTTCCACTAAGCAGCTGCCAGCATGAGGCTTCACTCACTTGCTGTCACACAACTTTGATTTGCTACCAGACTTAAGTTTCAGATCATAGGTACCTAAAGCACAGTCTCTAAATACTAAGCATAGCAAAGCCTGGCTGAATATTTTAAAAGACAGTACAAACTCATCAAAGATGATTGAGCTGGAGAAACTGCCTAGATGTTGGTTTTCTGCAGATGTACTGAGAATCATTAGTACCAGGTTATGATGAGCTCAAAAACATTTCAACTTCTCAAAACATAAACATCTCCGGTAATGGTATGCAAATTACAGTAATGGTGGTACAAAGTTTTAGCTGCATCATAATATTCCATTTTAAAGTGAAAACATCTGCGAAATACAGTAATTCATTATCATCAACTGACTCTGCAGAGATTTCTTTTCCCATAGAAACATCTATTTTGAATGCAAGAACCCAAAAAGCAAATAAATGAATGACACCATATCCTGTGTTCCGTACTGCAGAGTTGCAACTGTGTCGTTTCACTTCCTCACCCTCCCCTTGTCTACACCACAGGAACAGTCACAGTGCCCTGAGACTCCGGCCTCGAGAGGACAGGATTAGAGGCATCTTTGTTCAGTGTTGACCTCCACAACTTAGGGTTTGGTTCAGTAAAAACACCATTTACCAGCTCATGGTTTAGCTCACCTCACCGGGGCCATGAGTTTGACTCCAGAGTGGATATGGACTCATTTCATAAGAAGCAAGTGGTAATCTCTGGACTCCCTTCTTCCTGGTGTGTGCGTCCAACCCTACAGCTGTGGAATTCTTGGACACTTTTAATCTTAAACATCTAATGCTTCTGCTTTCTGAGATGGGAGGGCAGTGATCAAAATTCTTGGTTAAAGCTTCCATAATTAGTCTTTATTGGCCTTGTTATATTAATCAGACTTTGATGCGGGAATATTTCTATAAATGTACTGAAAATTCAGTGTTTTATCCTATGTATGGAAGTTTTCCAAAAAAGAATATTTGAAGTCTTTGCTCAGGCTTTGCCTGCTGAAACACCACTATGAGTAGTATGTTTATCTGTTGTTCAATTCATCGCAGACTTCAGAAGTGCTTTGTAAGATTTTGTCTGAGATGTTGTTTGCATATATTTTTCTTTTTGTTCATAAACCATAGTTTTAATGTACATATGTTTTCCTCCTGAAATTTTGGGAATCATTTTAAACTAACCAGGAACTTTATTATTCAACATGGTGTGACCTAATAGATGAATTTCTTTAACTTGTTGCTAGGATAAAATGTGATGTGTCACAATTCATTGATTCCAGATTCTCAGCAGAAAGTTATCTGGAAAGCAGTAGTGTAGCAGCAGAATTGCATCTCGGCTGCTGCGAGGAGGCAAAGCTCAGTGAGTGAACACAGGGAAATGATGTCTGGGGAGCACAGTCGGGGAACAGTCTCTCCTGCTCTAGATGCAGAGGCAGGAACCTTCCTGGATCACCCAGTCAGCAGGAAGCGGGGATTTCAGGTCTGCTTGCAGTCTCTGCCCTGGGCCGGCTCCCACCCGACACTTCCTCTTCCCTCCTCTTAGGGGTTAGGACCTCAGTAAAGCTAATTTCATATCCCCAGCTCACTTAGCTCTCTTACTCTGGTGTCCGAAGATTGCTCTGCAGGAGGAGTTTTAAGAAAATCTTTTATTACAACCTGGTTTTCCAAAACTCCTTAGAGAACATGTTGAAGAGTCCCACGGATGACAACAGAACACCCTAGAACTTCCTCTTGTAGAACAGGAGGCCGAATCAGGAAGGTCTGCTGGAGGAGAATGGATCACATTCCAGGCGGTACGAGCTTTCCTAACATTGTCTATTTTTAAAAACCTTAAAGAAATTTAAAGTTCCTATTAATAAACTGAAAATACAAACATACTTCAATGATTATTTTTAAGTGGTTAGTTCTTAGTAATTTTCCTAGGAGAAAAAAATTCTGTAGTTGGAGGAAAAGACGACTCCTTCTCAGCATGGGCATATTAAAAAAAAATCTCTTGGGCATATTAAAAAAAATCATATATTTATAAGCAATTCACAGATAAATATTGTAATATTAGTTGATATTACTAATTTTAAAAAGTTTCATCTCTAAAATATTCTTGCATGCCATTTAAATCTTAATAAAATTAGTAAATGACTGGAGAGCCTGTTAGAAATATATACATTTACAATTTCTCTCATGTTGCTATGTGCAAAAATAACCAGGGGAACATAAGCAAACTAAACACTAAGAAAGCTGTCTAAATAGGCCGCTATTCATTTATTACGGTGAGTGTGCTTTACTAAAATTATGCTGAAAAGGCGTTAATTAAAAATATTTACTTAATATAAATAAAAGTGATGAAACACTCTTTGGTAGAGTGTGACACAATATTTAACTTTATTCAAATATTTTACAGAGTTTAATTTTGTGTTGTCTTGCTGATTTGGCTCAGGAGATGAATTTATAATGAAATTTTTTATTCTTTATTTATAAATGATGTGTTTATTAGAAGATGATGGCCCCGGTATCACTTTGGTCACCACGCAGCAGTGATTCAATCTTGGAGACGCCGACTTCCCGTGTGAGCTCCCGACTGCCGGAGCAAGGGTAGGAAACAGTGTGTGCTGAACAGTAGACTGAATAGTTCGCCCCCAGAGAAGGGGTGCCCTAGCTCTGAGCTGCAGGCTCCTCTGGAAGAGGGAAGAGCTCAGATAGGCGGGATTTTCAAAGACTGCAGGTCTTCCACAAGGGCTGCAGAAGGTGCTTGCAGCTTCTGATGTACATGGGTGACAGGACCATCGTACAGTCAATCAGAGAACAGCAGGCAGCAGCAGCAGCAGCAGCAGCAGCAGCAGCAGCAGCAGCAGCAGCAGCAGCAGCAGCAGCAGCAGCAGCAGAGGAGCAGGGTGCAGGATTGGACCAGGCTGGAGCGCAGCGGAGCCTGGGACCCTGCACCGTGCCCTGAGCCAGCACCTGCAGAACCAGGCGAGCCTCGAAACGGAGGCTGCTCCCTCGCCACTGTCAACAGGGAAAGACGAACATCCGAAACAACATTGAACTAGCGCTGTTTTCTGAAACAGAAACAGAAAAAATAAAACAACATGGAGCAATATTATAAGCAAATTGTTGAGAAACAGAAACTTGTAAAAATAAAATTGCAAACATAGGCAGAGGTTCCAAAAATGAAGAATACAAAAACGTCAAAAATGTAAGTTAAATAGGCATGTTTTCTTTTTAAATTTCTTTTAAAGATAATTGAGCTGATCATAATGCTGGGCTTACAGTATACGTGTAAAATGAAAATACACGTGGAGTTTTAGGCAGTAGCTGAGCTACCCTAAGCTAGGTAGCGCTGATTGACACTTTGTTCACAGGAACAGACTCTAGAGCAATGCTGACTGTGAGGTCTCTGATTGGCTGATGAGCTATGAGGAGGCGGGCCTAGGGGAGGAGGCGGTCCTCGAAAGGGATCCTGGGAACTGTACGGGGTCCCTCACCCCTTCCACGTGGGCTTCTCCCTTGACTTCTGCTTCCCAGATAGGAGCTGAGCAGCTTTTCTGTGCTCACCTTTGTAACATGACGTGTCTGCCTCTATGGCAGCCAAACATGGACTGAAACATCTGGAACCTTGAGCCAAACAAACCTTCTCTCCTTTAGCGGTGTATTCCTGGTGTTTTGTCCTGCTAGCAGAAAACTGACTCATATGGGAACACTTCAGTTTCTTGCTGTATTTCCAACATTATGCATGAAGTATTTATACATTGGAAAGTTACACGTGGGCATTATAATACTTAATTCAAACACAAATAAATGAAATAAAATTTAAAAGTGAAGCAAAATTTAACAGAGGAAAAAATCTATTCCCAAGTATATTTAGAGTTTTATATTATTTAATTTAACATTAATAACAACTTTTACATTTTAATTTATTGTTTTTATTTATTTATTTATTTATTTATTTATTTATTTTTGCTTTACAATTTATTATTTTTTATTTAAAATTTACACCAGAATAGTAATATTTTCACATAGTAACTGACAAAATAAGCACACAAAAATTTAGGCTAGAAAAGACTTGATAATAAATCTACCTTGACTTAGTTGACATTTAAGATACTAGTGCTATGTCCTATTTGACATTCTTTGCATGCAACTACAACTAAGACAAACTATATTTTGGGCTATAAAATGGCTTCAATACCTTTCAGAGATTGAAACCACATGAAATGTCTTTTCTGGTTGCAATGTGATTAAAGAATAATTTAATAATGAGGAATCATCAGAAAAATCCCCCAAACACTGAAAATTGAAAGTTGCACTATTACATGAAAAAAATAAATCAAGCTAGAATTTGTGCATATAACTAGGTGAATTATGAGAAAGTTACAGAAAACTTTATGAAATACAACTAGAGCAGCGCTTAAAAGGATCAAAAATATAACTTACAGGGGCTGGCGATATAGCTCAACAGCACGTTGCCTCCCTAGCAAGAGTGAGGTCCTGAGTTCGATTCCTGGTACTGCTCCAATGATAACTATGATCTTAGCACTTAAACAAGAAAAATAGTAAAATAACAATCTTAATTGGAACACAAAGGACAAAAAGAAAAATGCATCCATTTTGATGTAAATGATTGATGACATGAATAAAGGAAAGAAGCCAGCTTTGATCAGATCATTATAAACAAAGCATAATCACACATACTCTGTGGGTAGAATTATTCAACCCCTCCACACACTGCTGTCCTCACCTCACTTCAGATAGACCAAGCTGGGTGATGCTGCACCTGCATTCAGAGAAAGTCATGGAGAAGTCAGGATTAACGTGGCCTTAACTAGCTGATAACGGTTGACCTCTGTGCAGATGCTTTTGATGGTTTTGTATCCCTGCTGGATGTGACAGGGCAGCTGACCTCTGCAACTTTTTACCAAACTAAGAAGTACTGTAGAAACAAACAAACAAACAACAACAAAAACATCATTGGAGAAACTCAAATGAAAAGAAATTTTACAAAACAATTGTTTAAACTGTTGTTAAACAGCAACCATGAAAAGCAAGACAGTTGTCCTACACTAGAAGAAGCTAAGAAAATAGATGACTAAATGCAGCTTAGCATCCTGCACTGGGCTTGAGGTACAGAAATGTCCCTGCCTATGAGAGCGTGATTCCAGGACACACTTAGAATTCAGTTATCAGGAATGAACAAGAGTGATCTTTAAATTATGACAAATGTACCATGGTAATACAATACCTCAGCACCATGGAAAACTGAAATTATAGATTGCTGGTAATTGTCTTCATAACCTTTCTGTAAGTCTAAAAAGATACACTAAGTTGCAAAGAGATAGAAGAGTTGTAAAGGTTTTTGCCACAAATTATAAATGTCTGAAGAGATACATATTTCTAACCTGATTTAAACATTATCATATGCTGTGCAAATACCTTGAGCCAATCCATTAATATGCACAATTTCATGCTTTCATGTATCAATAAAAAATAAATAAAAAATTTAGATCCAGCTATCAGGGATATGGTATTATGAGATGGAAACCATTAGGTCAAAGAATGCTGCCAGAGGCAGAAGAAACTCATTTCTTATTTATAAAGGAAATATTTAGGGAAAAGAAAAAAACTGTCCTAGGCATGCTTTGTATCTAAATGACAGAATTTCAAAATACTTAGAGCAAAACCTGTTATAACTTAAAGAAGAACATATAATTATATTCCAAAATTCCAATAGCTTTAGACTAATAATTGATGAAACAAGTTAGCAGAAAATCAACAAGGATATAATACCCTAGAGTTTTATCAAACTACTTTACTAAGAAATACATAATTGTTTCAGTTTCTAAAACCTTAATGATGGAAAGCAGCCAAGCCTGAATAAGCCAAAGTTAGCATTTTTTTTTTTTAAACAGGTCAGTTGTTAGTGCAATTTTTCTGCATTATGGTTTATGGAACCAAAGCCTTGCTACAGATTCTGTGAAATTTCAATGACGGGCTCTTTGATATCCAGCTCAAGCGTCAGTCATGTCCATGAAAGCTTGTAGCTCAGAGTGAGGTTAGCCATAGGGTAGCGCGCTGGACCAACACTGTGCTTCTGTACACTACGTGCAGGAAGAGAGACCTGCAGGTAAGGACCAGGGGAGAGTGTTATGCAAGAGGTGGTGGACATGTAGTGCAAATCAAAATGTTAGTAAAAGACACTGCAGAAAATCTCCTGCATGTAGGGTGTGGTGACGAGGGGATCCATGGCTATATATCTTATAACATCATAATTGTAGTCGGTTTAAACATTGACCGTGTTTGTTTTTTTTTTTTTTTAATCACACCTCAATAAAACTCCCTCACCCTATTGAGAGAGGTGACATCACCAAGAAGAAGCTGGGAATTGCAGGGACTGGAGAGTTTGTGATGGAAATAGTCTGACACAGGCAGCCAGATGACAAACAGCCCCAGAAAGACTGCAGGCGAGGTCCTTCTAGAGGGAAATGTCCAAGGTACACAGGAAACACTGTGGTGAGGGGGTGGAAGCTTGATGTATGATTTCCGTAATCACGGAATTACCCCTTTGTTACTGCTTTCGTTTCCAGAAAAATGCCACCACTGTTCAGGATACCAGCACTAAATTCTCTGCTCCCAAAATGACAGGAAAGATTTGGATGGATTTTGAAAATTTATCTCTGCTGTCCTGCAGAATAAAAACATCCTGGAAAAAAATTCAAGCTTCCAAATCAATGAAGACACCTTGTCACCATTCAAGACAATAGGGAACATGGCCACAATGGCCAGAAGATGCAAGAGCTTCATTCCGGGCCTTGAAGAACTTTCAGCCTTCAACTGGTGCCCCTAACAGCAGCCAGGTCATCCTAGGGAGATGCAGGAGAGGGCAGCTGCTCTCAACATAAGTGTCAGAGGCAGAGTTGGGTATCTTGTGTAAAGGAAGAGAGGAGGAATTCGTTGAACACTGGGGTGATTATGTAGCAAATTTGTTCAAGATGCGGTCAGATAGCTGCAGGGTAGGAGCATTTGTGAAAAAGATGCACCTTTGAAGAGGATCACAATGAGAGGTGTCAAATTGTTTTTCCTGCAGCAATGGGTTATAGCATTTTATAAAGAGTTCATTATATCCACTTACATGTACACATCACATTTGTGTATCTATCCATAAATAAGCTCACACTTACACACCAAATCCATGTATTTATATGCACATATGTAGGTGTAGCTATCGAACTGGTTAATGCTATCATACTAACATACCTAATATAGAGATCATAGCTACATGGTTAGTTCTGATCATATGTAGGTATTGTACTATGAAGAAATACAAAACAGTGTTCCACTGAATTTGAACCTCATATCAGAAAATACTATATTTAATTAAATTATTAACATTGTGTTTTAAACATCAAGGCATTTGTGACTCTCTGCGAAATGTTTATTATGGTCCAGGGGTTGCCACAAGAAGGAATTTGTTCATTGCTGGTGTAAGAAAAACAGTGTGAATTCAGTTTGAAGGTCTGCTTCTGGTACTTAGTATTATAATCTTCCACAAACTAACCAGACAGACATCTATAAAATGAAAATGTTGAGTGAAATAAATTATTTGTCCCTATCTTTCTTATAATTGCATGATTAACACATATTTGTAAATATACACTGATTTTCCAAATTCACCTATTTAACAATTTTGCATTTATACATTTAAGAAGAAAAAAAGTCAAATGTTGAAGATGGTTTTTTATATTATGATAAAAATAACTATTGACTTGCAGATCTGCATAAATTTGTAAAGTTACTAATTTATTAGAGAAAAAAAGCAAAACAGTAAAAAGGGTAGAAATAATACAGAATTTCAAAAAAGCAGAAATCACTAGTTGATAAATTACATAGTTATCTTAGAAGTAGTTGTTCAAGTTACAAAATCAAAGCATGAAAAGTAGAATTAAATAATGACAGTACAAATCATTCTGTTTGACGGACTAACAAAAACTTAGTAGCCTAGTCATCTATGTTGCACGTTTACACGTACATTCATATCCTTTCTGAGTGCTCTAATTGTTTAAATCACACATTCGATCTTCTCAGAAGTGACTCATCTTAGACTTGATGAAGGTCCTATGTCTTACATCTCTGATACATCTCTGATACTGTCGCCATGACTCCCACCCTGAGGACTGCGTTTCTTAGAGATTCACAAGCTCTGTGGAGGTGAACTGTCAGCCAGGCTGCTTGCTGGCCTGTTTCCCTTTGTCCCTACTCTCCAGCTGTACTGAGATTTTAGTCCTCAGTCTCTCCAACTTGTCCCTGGTCAGGCTTCTGCTTTTGCTGTTTAGCTGTGTCTATTAAATCTTTGCACAGTGCACTGCTTCAGGTCACTGGGGTCAGTTCACTCACCTCTGCAGGAGGCTGGCAAACAATCAGACAGCGAACAGCGCAAGGCCTACTGCGCATGAGCAACATCGCAGCTCCGAGATAAACACTTGGCATTTCAGAGGACTGAGTCACTTGTTCTGTTTCTCATTTTCTCTTAATCTTTCTTTCTTTCGTTCGTTTTTCTCTTTCTTTCTTTCTTTCTTTCTTTCTTTCTCTCTCTCTCTCTCTCTCTCTCTCTCTCTCTCTCTCTCTCTCTTTCTTTCTTTCTTCCTTTTGCTTTGTTTCTCTTTCTTACTCTGCCTTTCCTCTCTATCATCTATCGTCTCTCTATCTCCAGGATATAATTATAGAAAATTTTGATTTGAAGGGCACTAAAAGATATAAGAAGATGCTGCATCCATAAAAATAGAGAAAATGGTTATGGAGGAAAATCAATTCAAGATACAGAGTAATTACATGGAAATGAAAAGCATGATTGGTAAATGCAAGTCCTTGATTGAGCCGTAAACAGCAGGCTGATTAGTACCAAAACCGAGCAACTAAAGTAGAATGCATTTGCTTAGGACCTAAAAACAGAAAAAACAGACACCTAGAAGTTACACTTGTATGAGTAAAAATCTACCCCAAAGATATTATTTCTATTAAGTAGGAATGGACATATCAGGACTGGAGCAGAGATGATTATGTAACTCTTGATAGCAGTAAAAAGAAGCTATCTTGATTTGATGCAGGATTTGCATTCTCAAGAGATTCCAGTCTCCACCCAGCCCGAGACGCCCAGACGCGGTGAGTTGTGCTTTCTACTGAGGAAATCCAGAAGTTTCGATAATGAGCAGCTGGAGGATCTCACCACCACTCTTGCTTGGCCATAAAGCAGAAGTGCACAGTTCTTTGGTTAGATCTGATCAGACCTGATTTCTGATTGTTCACAAATGGCTCAAACTATGAAGGCCACCCCTGAAGAATTTACCAAGGTCTACATGCTAGAGATATTTTCATAACTGAGACTAACGTTTCTTTCGACTCAAATTTCATGTAAGATTGGATTTTTATAAAAACTCCGGTGCCTACCAGTCAATGGGTCATGGATGAAATTTCAAATATTTAAAGTAAGAATTTATACTACTTTGGTGTCCAACTCGAGCGCTTTCATTCTCCAGCTTAACCATGTAACATGATTAATTGCTTCATCTACTAATTAATGGATCATGAAAGAGAAAGATGAGCCCAAAATAAACAACAAATATGAAAGAGAATCCCTTGAGTGCCATCTCACAGGTGAAGGAAAGTGTGTGGGTATCTGTTAAAGCCCAGAGGTAGATAGATGATCCATTTTCTTCCTGTGCTGGAGATCTAACTCTAGGCCTGGCACATGGTCCCAGTGTGCTCTGTCAGTGAGCTGCACCCCACCAGCCCTATGTGATGGATTTGATGGCCACACTCCTTTGTCACAATTAAAATCTCTCTCTCCTGACTTTCTGGCTGACTTCAGGCCAGCAGTTCCTAATAAACCTGCCAAGGTTGCTGGTGTCATTTACTGATGTAAACATTCTCTGCAGAGAAAAAGACTCTTTCTTCTGACCAGATGGAAACCTTTCCCAGGAGCAGCCAGCAGTCTTCATCTGTCTCCCACAGATTGGAATGGTGTCACTTAGCTATGACACTGCCATAGCTAAAATAATCATCCCATCGGTAAGGAGGAGGAGATGGCCAGGAGAACCTTCAACTGATATGAATTCCCCACTGGCTGACAATAAAGCCACAAGGCTAGTTACTGCTGCATTTCTGTGGCTACCTTTCCTAAGAATGAAAGCGAAGGTGGATGTGGAATAGTCTTCTAATAGCACAGCTGTGCTCCTCCAAACTTGAAACTAGTTTAAAAAATAAATGGCTCATGTAGCCCAGAGCTGCACAGACAAATGGAATGTCCTGGAAATCTATTGTGCTACTGCCTGGAGACTGCTGGTTCAAACACATCTCTGCCAGTTGGGTGCTGACAAACAATAGCCAGGCTGTGCTTGTCTGGGCCTTATTTGATGTGACAGCATATGGTGACACCACAGGCCAGGGACAATGGGAAAGTGCTATTCATAGCCTCAGGTAGAGACCCAGGTTACAATGCCAGGAGTCAGTGCGTCTCTGCAGCCCAGGTGCCCCCTACTTTCTGGATGGAAGGCACCACACAGGGTGTAACCAACATATTGGTCCGCAGGTTTTCTCTGTACTAGCGTCTGTCCCGAAGTTGAAATGGACTGAGTGGGGAGCATTGGAGAACAGGATTCATGTTTCAGAGAGACTGTTCTCTCCACCAAACAATCCTCAAATTGTTGAGAAATTGGAGCAAAGGGAATTTTTTATACCAGTTAGTACAAAATTATTGGCCAAAATAGCATATATATATGCAGGAATCTACATATGTATGTGTGAGTTTCTGTGGACATGTGTAAATATACACATATAGATGTCAAAGAGGTCATGAAATTCTTCAGTACAATGTCTGTGAACACACTGCAGTCCCGTAGGATTGGATTAGCTAATAATAAGTGTGCTCCAATGTGCAAAGCACTGGCTCCGGCCTTCCTTTCATATACAGATTGGTCTTGTGCTACCATTTACATCAGTTTATACATATAGTGTAAAGGGAAGGTGTGCTGTTTATTTGGAAATGTTATAAATATAAAGATTTGCACTGCAGCTGGAATATTTTATTTATGATCTGAGAGTTTGAAAAATATTTGGTTGAATTTAGAAGTATATTAAACAACAGGCTTTATCAATTTAGATGCAAAAAAGATTAAATCACAGGAAGATTTTCTTCACCAAGAACAACTCAGTTTATGAAACTCAGACGGTTTCATCCGTCTCCCAAAGTAATGGTAAAATTAAGGCTTGATATTTGAGACATAATTGTATTTTCATGACTAATATCTGACAACAATGAAAGAATAATTATGAAGGTCAGAAATGTGCTTTGGATTTCTATGAATTCTCTATTTTACTGTTCTTACCCAAAAGAGTAAAATAAATGCCATTTTTTTACCATTCACCTTAAGACCCTTTATGTGCTTTGCACTGTTATTGTGGATGTAACAAATGAATTGGGGACAATTTAAAATTTTAAATAATGAGAAGAAAACAGAAAATGATTGTTCAGTTATTTATGTTGCAACAAAGGACAATGAAAATAGGAGAAATGATTGCAAACTGATAAAAATGGTTACTTCTCAGTATGTGCACCCTAATAGATAGAAGTCACTAGGTAAAAGGGTGGATAATTAACTGGGCTTTCTCACTATTAGTTTCTGGTAAGTTCAAAATATATTCAAAAGGCATCAAGAAAAACACTTACCAGCAATAAAAATTTACCTGCAATAACATAAGCCCTTAATCTGACATATGCTCAAAATAGGAATATTACAGTACATTAACAAATGCAATGACTTAGGTGTCTTTTGTAGCAAAAGAAATTTGAACTGCTAAGTATAAGGGATAAAAAAAAATTGTAAAAAATAAACTGAATCATATATATATATATATATATTTTTTTTTTTTTTTTTTTTTTTTTTTTTTTTTTTGTAATCGGTATCATGGATCGAACTCATGACTGCCTGCTTGCAAGGCAGGCACTTATGCCACTGAGCTAAATCCCCAGCCCCAAATAAACTGAACCTTATAAATGACTGATTCATCTATCATGTGAGTTTCACATATATCATATTTCAGAACTAGTAAACAGTAGGTGTTTGTGCATGTAAAGTTGTTCTTCAATGAATTGGTCATAACCATTATACTCTGTAGATTTAAAAAATATTTACTGTAAACCAGTTATGCTTGACTTTTTCATTGGTGGCTTTTGTTCATTATGGGAATCTGGTATATGTGCATAACACTTTCACAGCAGAAGATCAGATGAATATGGGTTGAACTGCTCATGGCAAATAGGGTGACTCATGGTAAATGCAGAGGGCACTGGTGGCCTGTGAAGACTGGCTCTATGACTTATTACGTGATGTGAGCATAAAAAGAGATGTGTCGCAGCCTCTGCGCCCCTTCACGTGAATAAGGAGATGACGCTTCCCACTCCGCAGCCTTCCTGGTCCTCAGGAGACTGATGTGAAGGCAAGGCACCGAGGAGCCCACCTGAGGCCCTGACCCTTTTCCTGCCTCTTGATTAACTCATTAGTAAAGTTTGGAACAGGTTTATCTTATTTGTACTCAGGTCATGTGGCATCATTCAAGCTGACATAAAAAGTTCAAGTGTAATGTTAATATGGAGTGTTCTCGGCAGAGTTGTTCTGCTCAAAACAACTTCCATTTTAATTCCACTCTGCGGTGTTTTCCTTTTTCTTTTTACC